AAAGTTTTTTAGTTTTTTCTTGAATTTAATTAAATATTTTTTTCTAAAGCCCCCCCTGAAAAAAATCCCTTACTTTGGGGCTAAGGAATGAAGGTCAGTGGTAGAGCACTTCCCGAAATTGTGCAAAGCTCTAGGTCAATCCTCAGTACTGCAACAACAGAATGAACCCATCACATTATAACTCCCAAATATGTACAACTGTTTGTTAATCAAAAAAGGTTAAGGTGTCAGGGATTTAGCTCAGTGTTGCCGCCACCTGCCACGTAAGCACAAGCTTCCAAGTTCAATCCCCAGTACCAAAAAAAAAAAAGTTAAAGATTTAAAATAATAAAATCACATCAAATGCCTTCTTAAATACGGCATATTAGGAAAGTGAAGGAATGGGTTACTCTCATTATGACATTTCAGCAATTTTGTTGAATGTATGAAAACTTTTTATAATATATAAATATTATTTTTATAATAAGTATATCGATGTGCTTATTTTCAGTGGGGTGAAATTACCCAAGTCATCCTGTTAGTAATGCATAAATTTCAGATTTATTAGTACCATATGGATATTTTTAAAAGTTACCCAGTAAATTAGAGAGATTATTTCTAACCTGCAAAAAATAAAACCTTATAGTACAGTTCTTTATCTTAAAATTCATTGATTAGGCATCTTTAATCTGCATTCCTATCATTCCAGCTACTAAGGATTAGTAGCTTAGGTGAGAGATCACAAATTCAAGGCCAGTTTGGGCAACATAGTAAGACCTCATCTCACAGTAACCCCAAAAGAACAAAAAACTGGCATCTTGAAATTATTAATCCGATGCAAAGATTATTATTGATCTTGGAAGTCTACCGCCTAGGTTCTATGTTGAAGACTGTATGAGGTTAGGGTAGGCACTTTGAATAGATTTTACTATAAAACTCAAATCCATTATGTTTGGAACTAAGTATATATAAAAAGTATTGTTTTACTACATACTTTAATGGAGTGATTTCTAATTATGTTGCAGGCTTTACTAATCAGTCTTAAGTATGGTTGTTTTATGTGGCAATTGGGAGATGCTGATACTTGTTTTCAGATCCACAGCATGGAAAATAAAATGAGCTTTATAGTACACACAAAACAGGTAAGTATTTATTGACTATTTTGGACTTCTAATAGTATACTACTGTATTACTAAAGTTTCTTTTTAAGTAACAATTTAACTTCAAGGGAAACCTCTAATATTAGATGAAATTAAAATATTAAAGTCAAAGGGAAAAAAAGGGAAAGCCTTTCATAATAAAGCCAGAAACATAGGTGAATAATTTATTTCAGTTTTATAACAAATTATTTCTTGTGCCTTCTTTTAAAATTCTCATCAGAGCTAGGTGTGGTCATGCACGCCTGTAATCCCAGCATTCGGGAGGCTGAGGCAGGAGGATCGCTGTGAGTTCGAGACCAGCCTGGGCTACATAGTGAGTTCCAGGTCAGTCTCAACTACTTAGTGAGACCCTGTTTCAAAAAAACAAAAAATTCTTATCAGTATTCCCTGTCTCTCCAATCAAGATACTAGGCAGACTTTCTCTCTTCTTGACCAGTATCCTCTCTGAGCCACTAGTTATATATAGCAGGTTTCTTAAATTTCTTCGAAAAGCCTGAGTAAGCTGGGTGGCATATAGCTGTAATCCCAACACTTTGGAAGGCTGAGACAGGAGAGTTTGAGCCCAGACTGGGCAATTTAGCAACTTAGTAAGATTCTATGTCAAAATAAAAATAAATATTTGCTGGATATGTAGCTCTGTGTGAAGGCCCTGGGTTCAGTCTTCAGTACAAAGGGGGTGGGGTGGGGGCAACACCTGAGTAATTCTCCTCTACTTAATTTTTTTAACAAGCTACCTCCTGATGCGAATGTTCCCTTTCAATTAGAATTGCCTAGTGTCATGTATGTCCTGTAAACATTCTTACATATTTCATCTTCATTACAAACATATTTTACTTTGTAGGCTGGTCTCGTGGTAAAACTGTTGATGAAGCTAAATGGACAATTAATGCCCACTGAAAGAAATTCATGAAAGGAAAATAGTTTCTACGCAAGCCACCATTTTGTAGTGCAGTTTTTTCTGTGAAAGATTTCGTAAAATACTACTTTTCAAAAGGCATGTAGTCTCTTGTAATATATATGTATACTATCACACTGTACAGGATCTGTACTTACATTTAGTGTGTAATATACTAATCAGTTTTATATGCTGTCCTCATAAGCTATTCCAATTTTTTAGAGAAACACAAAAATTTAGATTGATAGTCTGTTATATTAGACAAAATAGTAAGCTTTATAAAAAGTTATTTTTTGGTAAATAAAAAATTTAGATTGGGATGTGTTAAAATATAGCTTTGTTAAAACTGTTATTTCAACATGTACTGAAAAATGAACATGATTTGAATAAAGAAATGTATTTTCTACTTGGACCACATAATCACTGTTTCCAGTTTTTTTGTTTTGTTTTGTTTGGTACTGGGGATCAAATTTGGGATCTTGTGCTTGCGAGGCAGGCAGCGAAACCACTGAGCTAAATCTCCAGCTATACCACTGTTATTTAAAACATGTTTCCACAATCTATTAACATTTCTCAATATGTTTTTACGAGTTTTAGTTAAAAGGTAGTTGTCTATATTGTTCTTAAATCTCTTGCATCATTAAAAAATGACTTAATAGTCACATGCTAGACAAATTCATTCATTCTTTGAAAGTAACAAGGAGGGGAAATCTGTTCTTAAGTTTTTGTTTTTGTTTTTTCGGTTTTTTTCCTGTAGAACCAGAATTTATATTATTAAAGTTGAGAAATTATACAAATTAAAGGTGATCTTATTTTGGCTCATAGTGTCAGTGGGTTCAGTCCAAATTCTACTGGATCCAAGGCAGAAATGGAATGGTAAAATGGCCTGGCCAAAGGTCCTGGTGGAGAAAAAGTGCTCAACCTGTGACAGCCAGGTAGTGGAGAGGACAGAGTCAAGGACAAGAATACACCTTCCAGGTCAAGAACCCACTGACCCGCCTCTTCTGACCAGCCCTACCTCCAAACACTTGAAACTTTGGGAGGACATTTAGAGGTAAATCATAGATGACATTCTAAAAGCAAAGCTTTTTTAGGATAAGGATGGAAGTGAGAGGAAGTGGGGATATAAAGAAGCAACCTAGGGGCCAGGGATTTAGCTCAGTGGTTCTGCTGCCTGCCTCTCAAGTGCAAGGTTCAGGGTTTAATCCCTGGCACCCTACACCCCAAATAAGCAACCTAAAGAAGTTTGGAAGTAGGGGCAATATTCTGATGGTGACTGAAAAGTGTGAGGGCTGCAGATTTAGCTCAATGGCACCAGACCTGCCTCTCAAGTCGATCCCTGGTACTGCCCCCCCCAAATCACAACAAATATATTTAATATAAATTCCATTTAGTGAGTAAAGCCATGTGGGAATCTTCAGCAGACCAGCTACCACTGGTCATCTGTGTCCTTGGACTTTTTCCAACAACCTGTTAAAACAGGTGCATTACTATGAAATTTGAGGAATGCAGAGACATAAAAAAGACATCAGAAACGGACACTAAAATGACATTCAGATAAAAGTCAAAAATAAAGACAAAGAGGGCCAGGGATTTGACTCAGTGGTTCCGCCACCTTCCTTGCAAGCACAAGGTCCTTAGTTAGATCCCTGGAACCAAAAAATAAGTGAAAATAAAGATAGAGCAAAAATTCAAACAAGTTGCTGAGGCAAATGAAACGTCTTTTTTTGAGGGGGTGGGGGTTGAGACTGACCTGGAATTCATTGTGTAGCCCAGGCTGGTGAAAAAACGAAACATCTTTGACAAATATGGCAAAGAAAGATTAAATGGTGGAGGAGGAGGTGGAAGTCATTTTGATAGTCCATTTGAATCAGCCTTCATATTTGCAACCATAGATGGTATCTTCAAGGGAATGTTTTGGTGGAAGGGGCCTTTTCTCATTCAACTTCTTCAAAGCCTTATTTGAAGACTTTTGGGAATTAAAGGGTTCCCAAGGAAGTAAAAGCCACAGTGTGAAATCCTTTTTCTCTGCCTTCAGTGGATTTTAATCCTTTAGAGGTGGGTTTTCTTTATTTGATACAGGATTTATTTCATTTGGGTCCTTATGTCATGGGGCCTCACTCCATTCTCTTTTGCCTCATTTGGCAGCAGTGGGATGGGCAACTTCCAGTCTATATCAGCTTCTACTAAAATAGCAGAAGCAAAATTACCACAGAGAATTATCAAGAATAGTCAAGAAAAAAAGTAGAAGTTGACGAAGTTGTACAGTTAAAGTCCCTAACGATAAATGCAGCTGCTGTGCTTGAATAACAAGTAATTCAATGCACACGTTTCACAGAAGTATTAAACTGTAACAACACTATTTGAGGATTAACAAGAACTTCTTTTGTAAAATTTGAAACAAACCTGACTTTCAGTATAACTACTGAAAGTATTTATGAACAGCTCAGTGGAGCCCCTGTTTTTCACAGACTTTTGAGGTTAGTATTGGGACCACACATTAGGACCACTTTTTGTCTTCAAAGTTGTTGTAACCTCTGTCTGCACTTTCATTTTTTATTAAAAGTGATCTATGGTGAGCCTTGACTCCTGAGTAGCACTAGGACAGGACTATTCTAACACCAGCATGGATCTGGATCTGCTTTCCATTGTGTTTGAAACATGAGCTGAGTGGTCTCAGCTTGCTGTGAAGTTAGCATCGCCAAGACCGGTCCACCACAGAGATTCCTTTATTTTTCTTTTTCAGTGTTTATTAATGAACTATATTAAAGCCCTAATGGTAATACATTATATAAAATGGTAACACAGTTTATAAAATTTAAGGATTTTCTAGTTATGCATGGATAATAACTCTAAAGATTTGACAATTGTTTAAATATATAGTGTTAGGCTTATAAAAGCTAGTAAACCAGGTCTTTGTCATTTCCTTCTACAGAAAGAAATGTGAATGTGTTTGATGCATTCTTTCCTGAAAATTAAAGTAACAAAAAAATTCCACTTAGTGAGTGGCCACAGAAGTTATGTGCTTGAGAATCCAGGTAACTTTCAAAAATGGGGAAATTAAACCTTTGCTAACAAAAATGCGAAACAGAACCTCACTAAAGTCATTACACTTGTGAGAAATGAGGGAACGGGACTGAAACACTGAAAGCTGGTCGAGCCGTCAGGAAAGCAGTCCGGCAAATATTTCTTCCCTGTTACCTGACGGTGCCACGTGAGGACGGCCTCAGGACGAGCCGCCTGCACTTCCCCTTGCAGTGTTTCCTCCTTGCCTGGGGACTGTACTGTAGGTGCCACAATTCACCAGGGTGGGAAGGGATCATTTTCTGATAGTACCCTAAAAATGAAACAATAATTACATAGTTAAGCGTGAAACACATGAAGGCAATTATTTTTAAAAACCAGTTTCTCTCATCTTAAAATGATTTAGTTGCTAAAGAATTATATCACTATGCTATGACTAAGATTTGGATACAATTTGTCTCCTCCCTAACTCAGTTGAACTTCAATTTCAATTATGGAATATTAAGAGGGTGGAAGTTGAATCCTACTTGGGGCTTGGCAATGGGTCCTCTGGAAGGTAATTAGGATTACGCCTTCAGGGTGGAGCTCCCATCACTGAATACCAATGATTTTTAAGAAAAAGAGACCAGAACACGGATGCACAAGTACTCCCTGTGCCTTACCCTGTTTCACCCTGATTGGACCAGAAGAAGGCGATCACGGGGTGTGTGTGCCCCTTAACTGGACCAGAACTGTAGGCCAAAATACAGCTCTTTTCACTGCACTTTGTGGTTTTGCATGGGGATGAGCAAGCTTGGGGTCGAGAGAGCAGGCAGCTACTGGCAGGGCCTTGCAGTGTCCCTAGCACAGCAGACTACGGCTTAGTGGTGTGTGGCAGGTGGCTGCTCTCGGGCTTCGCCTGGCAGCCCGGCCCTAGGGCGAGTGAGTCTAAGCCTGTGTGTGGGCCCTATGCCCCTCTACACCCGGGCATCCCCTGTAGGGAAGGGTAGACTGCTGTCCTTTGTAAAAGCAGTGGGCTGCTCCAAAGACCGCATGGAGAGAACTACAATACTTCATGAGCGACAGTAGCCAGGAATGGGGGACCTCAGTGCCTGGACCAAGTCTGTGGCTGAGCATCCTGATACCAGCTCTACCAGTCCTGTACCCATGACTCCCTCATCCCTGAGCAAGCAGGGTTCTGGCGGTAGCCAGCCCATAGTGGTACAGGAGGGCTATGGCTTCAGGTCAGATTATTCCTTCTCCGGTCTTGAAGCATCCTGTTCTGGTGAGGGCAAGGTGAGTGGCTGCATGTGCAAGGTACCACTGTTGCAGACTTCCAAGAGACAGGAGACCAATGGGAATCAGGAATTGTTTAAGGCGAACTCTGGCTCAATGGACTCCTGCCCAAGGGAAGAGCACTGAACAAAGAAGAGTTTCCACTTTGACACATTTTGTCAAAGAGGGTGGTTTTTCTAGTGACATAGCAAGTGAGTTTACTAGAACAGGACAAGGGCAGACAGTTTTGCAATTTTGTCTTGAAAGAAGATGTCTTATGAATCATATGAGAACAAGATGACATTAACTTAGTTTATAGGACATAGTTGTCAATTTTATCTGTACCAGAACAAGGAGTTACAGCTACAGGGGGAGAGACTGCCCAAAGCTAGGAAGAACTTGTTTTTTTGTTTGTTTATTGGTTGGTTGGTTGGTTGGTACTGGGGATTGAACTCGGAACCTTGTGCATGCAAGGCAGGCAGTGGCACCCACTGAGCTAAATCCCCAGCAGGAAGACTTGTTTAAGCCCTCCTTCATCACGGTGAGCCTCAAATACCTGAACCTGGACCATTTAGCGATCACATTCATATTCAAGGTCTTTCTGGGCAACACCACTGAAGACTACAACCTCATTGCTATCGAGGTAGTTCTGACCAGCCAGGGACTGTGACTTCAGGAGCACCTGGCATCCCAACCCTTCCAGGCATGGCCATTTTCAAGGAGGAGACAGAGGCTGGCTTTGGAGCCCTTCTTCCTGCTGCTGAGGGCCAGTGAGACCAAGCTTGTCCCAATGGCACTGACCAAGGTGCTGAGGGCCCCTGTTTCACCTCATCTAGTAGCAGCATTAGCTCAGCCCTGGAGGCAGTGACTCCAGAGGGCACCTCATCTCCTTCTGGTAGCCCAGGTGCCATCTTCTGCCATGTCTGCCAGGCTACTTGCTTGTGTGAAACCAGTGTGAGTTTTGCTTCCACCTGGACTACCATGTGCCTGTCTTGCAGGATATGCTGGGGAGGAGTGGAGCTGCTTGCTGCCATGTGTCCCCTGACCTGAAGAACAAGGATGGTGCCCTTAAAATGGATGGTGTGACAATGCCAGTGTGGTGGCCTAGCTGTCACCAGCCAGTGAGCAGAAATGTGAACCTGTCCTGGCCCTCTTCTGCCATGGACCCTGCTACCTCCTGTACCAGCTGACTACTGACTCTCCCTTCTTCAGGGAGCAGCTTGGTGGCACCCTGGACCTGACCCTGACCCAAGCCTGCTTCTAGGAAAAGCTATCAGCTCCATACAGCCCCACCAGGGATGTGGGCCACATGTTCACGCACTTTTAACAAGCTGCCTGAGAACAAGGCAGATGGGCAGTCCATCATCAGCCAGCAGCCCATGTTTGAATCATACACAGGAGACCCTCGGTAACAAAGTCTCTGCCGTGTTGGTGGGGCCCCCGATGCTGAGCTGGCCTGTGTACCCAGAAGCTGTCTGACGGTGCTGGTGATGGTCCCTGAAGCTGGGGCCTCTGATGGCCTGGCTGATCTGCCTCTGATCTACATCCCATCACCCAATCCTTACCTCCTAGTGGCCTGACTCCCATTCCCTGGTGGCCCTATTCCCCAGTCCCTCATAAAAAGGTTTTTACTTCTGTGAATGTAATAAAAACTTCACCAGTTTTTAAAAATGAATAAGACAGCCATGAACTCAATAATATGACTTAATAAGGCAAGTATAATCCCAAACTAGTAAGCATCAAATCATTTGTTGACCTTTTGAATATGCTACATGACATTTTAATAGCATATATTTCCGGCTGTATTTTATAGATGCTAATATTTTTGTTCATATATACTGAATAAATACCAGTGGAACAATAAGAGAAAGAACCTAAAATGATGAGTCATCTGCAGATAGAAAAATAAATATTTCCACCTAAGTTAAGTGTTTGCCATTTTTCCTTTGATTGTTTGCTTCCAAATAATCCTTAGTTTAGTTTTGTACACATAACCACTAAGATGAAGAAGTCAAGGTCTCTAACTTATTTCAGCCAATTCGCTAACATGAGCGACTGTATGTAGTTGAAAATCGGATTGTATCTGAACTTCGGCTTGCATGGTGTCACAGTGTAAATATGAAGTTTAGCACAAAGACTTGTGTATTCGAGGGCTTGATCTCCAATGCAGCACTGTTCAGAGGTGGAACCCAGAGGGATGACTGGATCATGAGGGAGCTGACCATTAATGAGTGCACAGCTAATGTGCTGCTGGGAGGTGAGCTCAGCTAGAATAAGCAGTTCTCTGGGCCCTGCCTTTCAAGGGTATATTTGGTCTGAGCCCTTTCCTCTTGGCCTATTGCCCTCTTTGCCTCCTGTCTGTCATAAGACAGGCTGATCTGCTCCATCACATGTGATGTTTCTGCCTCACCACAGGCCTAAAGCGATGGAGCCAGATGAGTGTGGACTGAAACGTCTGAAGCCACTAGCCAAAATAAACCTTCCTGCTCTAAATTGTTTTTCTCAGAGATTTGTTCACAAAGATAAAAACTGACTACCACACATGTTATTTTGTATTGTTAAGTTTATGTATGTTTATCTACCACATGTTTTGTTATAAAATAATTTAAAAGAATTTTCCAGTAAAAATAACATTTCTCCCCTTTTAGTGATAATTGGTAATTAAGATGAATAGTAAAATATATCATTTCACATTTATTTTATTGTATAAGCAAATACACTGAAATTTAAAATTTCCAAGACAGATTAAATAAACAGTATTACAGAAGTTTGTATGATTGTGTGTGTGTGTGTGGTGCTATGGGGTTGAACTCAGGACCTCATGCATACTACGTAAGTACTATACTCTTGAGTTACACGCCAACCCCAACAAAATAATTTTTAAGCTTCCCGTCAACTAATAATTAAAATATAGGACAATACCAAGGTAAAGATAATCTCAACCTGCTATCCAGTAAGGAGTTTAAATACAGGTCAGAAATTTAGTATTTAAATTATTTAAATAAAAAGGGAAAGTAAAGGATAAGAGAAAACTGTCTGTATTCCAAAGACCAAAATTAATATAAATTGCCAAATAAACATTAAGATTATTTTTAAAACTCTCCCCTCACCTAAGTAATGAAGGTAACAGCATTTAGAAACAAACAAAAAATCCCATAGGCTTCTGAGACACTGCCAAATTATATACCTATATCTGTAACTCTCCAGATAGTTACCAAGTTCTATTCAGATGACAATTCAAAAGACAACTTGCAAATCCAATGTACAGAATAGCTAAATACTAAAATGCTACCCATCCATGCTACCTATGTAGAGTTACAGAAAGGACATATCCCTTGTCTTTCATGAATCCTAGAGAGCTAATTGCATTCATTATTTACATTTAAAAACAAGTTTGATGGTAATAGAAACTGCACTGGGGCCCATACATTGAAACCCTGAGCACAGTTGTAGGAAAGAGGGACTGGAAGACATAGGGCAGCCATTCTATCTATAACAAGGAGATGTATTTGTCTCCACCAAGGTGGCAGCCACCAGGCTGACTCCAGTCTCATGAACAGTAAGGCAGGTGAGCCTAGGATGAGGCTTGGGAGGTCCTGTTAAGTAGCACTTTTGTACCTCACCTTGAAATGTTGACAGTGATGTATGTTCACGCTTTTAGTTTTCATTAAAAATACACAAATTCAAGTGACACTTTAGAATATTTCATTTCACAGTAAGACTCATCGGTGTATTCAATATTGTCATATTTTGATGTCAGTATTAATAAACTTTTTGTTTTCTATCCCTTCTGTAAAAGTTCTGAATCTAGTTCTTCAATTACGTTTGTCATTTAAAAAATACAAACACACTTGTTTTTCTGATGAATGCCGGTATTTTGATTGCATTGGGCTGGCACTATAATAATTAGGGTCTTTTTGTAACTTTGCCTTGTCCTGCTATGTACAGATGATGGGGACACGGGAGGTCACAACTGCCCCAGGAATCACCTCTCTGGTCCCTGTACTTACTCCCCCCAAGTACCCTTCCTGGTGACTGCTAAAGCGTCGTGGTCTCGGGGATCTTTCAGAGACAGAATCCTGGCGACCTCCTGAAGGCTTGAGGTAACCAAGGCAAAGCAATGTCAGACTCCGCTAGGACCTTTGGCTGTGTCCTCCACTAAGTTAACTCCCTTCCACTGTGATGCTGTTCTTCCCTTTACCAAACTCCGAAATCAGGGAGAAAAATAAAAAGCCCCATAAAAGCACCACTATCCCACGAAACTGAGACCTGAGTCACAGAGTATGAACCCCGGAGGAGCAGGGGCCAGGCGGGTGGCTCTGCGTCCCGCCCACTGGCCATCAAATCTCAGGGCAGACCGCGCCCAACAAGCTGGGGACACCAGCGCGCGTCCCTGGGGGCAGTCGATGTGGCTCCATCTCCCGCGGTACCCCGTGTGACAGAGCGCCAGCTCACAAACGCGAGGGGTGCGGCCCAGCGCAGGGCCACCTCTGTTCTCCCGGCCCAGGCGGGAATAAGGACAGGCCAGTTGCCGCCTCTTATTACCTGAGTCTCAGGATTGTCGGCCCTGTCCACACCCGGGGGGCTCGAGGATCACGGTGGTCGTCGAGAGGGGTCCCAGGTAAGGCTGTGACTACAGCACTTCAGCAGCCCTCTAGGCCAAGCCAGCCCAGGGTCCCCTTCCCCGGGTCCCCTCAACACCTGCAGAGTGGTTTTGCTTTCTGTCCCTCCTCACTTCAGCCTCTGTTCACTGGCCTTCATCCCACACCCTAGGAAACAAGGTAATAATGCCGCTGCTTGGTATGAAAACGTCCTGGGGCTCTTTCAGTGTCCACATCTTTCAGTCGTCGAACACATTACATTGTTTAACTTTACTAACAACTGTTAAGACAGAGCTTGGGTTTATTTTTGCCTATCAAATTGGTAATACTTGTTTTAAATGTGGCTCATGATGCTTGTGAGAAGGAAACGTTTTTAGGATGTTATTTAGCCAAGCATATAGCCTTTAAAATGTTTGTATGGTGAAGTTTGCCAATATTCCCAGCACACTGAAAGCCTGAAGCAGGAGGATCACAAGATGGAGCCCATCCTGGGCAACTTCACGGCTTAGTGACACTGTCCCGCTCCACCACAGCCCCCAAAAAGAAAGTCTGACTGATGGCACCTCCTTCAACGGCCTCAGTGGCTTTTTTTTTTTTTTTTTTTTGTACTAGGGATGGAATGGAACTCAGGACCCTTTAACTTGCCAGGCAGGTGCAGCACCACTGAGCTACATCCCTGGCATCAGTGCCATATTTCGCAGCCATGAAAGATAAGTTTTTTAAATATTCATTTTTAAAACACTGTATGTCAACAACTATATTATGTGATGATGGAAATGTTGGTTCTCCACACTGCTTAGCATGACTGAGGAACTGAGGTTAGAACTATATTTAATGGTAAATGTAATTGAAATAGCCATTGGTGACTAGTAGTCACCTTAGTGAGCAATGATGCTATATAAAGTCTCAGTTTTGTAAAAAAAAAAAATACTATATGTGGGTAACTGTTGGCATAGTTATCTCTAAGAAGTGGTTCAGAGGACATCCTACTGGCTCTTCCAGCATCTGGTCTTCCTTTGGGTTGGTCTGTCTCCTCCATATATCCCCTGTGATTTGGAAAGGCAAGTGCTACCTCAGGATCTAGTCACGTAACATCTAAACAACAGTTCTCAGTCTCAGAACTTGACCACCTGGGTAGGTGTCCAGTATGTGGCCTAACTGGGACCAATGGAAGAGAAGCTCTAATTTCTCACTTAGTCTCTGACTCAAATACTAAACTGTGTGTAACATTCAAGGTCAGTCTATAAATATCTTCACACTGAGGAGAGCGCAGTCCTTGTATAGTCTCATTTTGCCAAAGGTTGCAACTTTTTGAATTTTTGCATGAAATTCATTTATTGTATATGAACTATAAAAATCAGGGAACAAGAATTTAGAGAATTTCTTTATCATTTTCCATTTTTTAGTTTTGTGGCATACCACAGCTGGAACACTAGGCCAAATTACTGCTACATGGTTACCCAGAAATTTTCAAGGAAAAAGAATTTGAAGAGAAAAAATTTTAGTATTTTCCATTTTTGAGTTGTATAGCATTCCACATATGGAACACTAGGCCATGCTACTATTGCACTGTACATAATAATGCACCTCTTAAGAGGCAGTAACCCCTCAGTGTGATACTCAACTGAATACTTCACATGTAAGGCAGCATCACATTTTTTACATTGAAAAGTGGAGTTCTTATGACATTCAGCGTACAGCTGAATTTGCTGTCTCTGCTCTTCTGAGCAAGTCTTCCTTTCCAGCCAGGTTCTGGAGGATGATGACAGGTATCCGAATAATAGCAAACTATGTTGTCAACAAAACTCCAGACAATCTACTGGCTTCTTTCCATATATTTTATGCAGCTTTTTAAAGACCAATTAGAAACAAAACAAAAGAGGCCTTGAATACTATTTCATTCCATGAAGGGATGTCCAATATTTATCAATGTTTTCACCAGGTCTCTCCATGCCTTCCACAAACTGGTTATCCACTTTGTGGTCCTGTTTGGCTGTTGAACTTGGATCTCTTTCAGTTTGGGGAATAATAGGCAAGACCTGGGATCAATACCAACACTAGCTGAGGCCACGATGACAGCACTGTTATCATTTCATCTGCGGTCAATACAGCCTTTGCCATCAGCTGGATATTCGAATGTGCCTTTCTTCTTTAGAGCTACCTGATTCCATTGGAGCTTTGTCAATGCAACCCTTTCTCCCTGTACTTGTTGCATGTGTCCCATTGAATTGAGCTCATCAAAAATTTCAGTACTGGGCCGGGAATTTAGCTCAGTGGTACCGCCACATGCCTCACAAGCACAAGGACCTGTGTTTGATCCCGGGTACAAAAAAGAAAAAAATTTACATTTCTTGACTTACATGTGAACGAAGGCCAGGCATAGTGTCTCACGCCTGTAATCCCAGCACTCGGGAGGCTGAGGCAGGAGGATCACTGTGAGTTCAAGACCAGCCTGGACCACATAGGTGAGTTCCAGGTCAGTCTCAACTACATAGTGAGACCCTGTCTCAAAAACAAAAAAAAAAAAGTTCAGTACTAGTGAAAGAGTTATCAAATACCAAATGGTATTATCCAGGGTGTGCCTCTGTGAGTGCCACAACAAACTGAAGGACAAGTGATGCACCAAAGCTGTATTCCTCATGTTTGGTATTTGGGTTTTTAGCCCGACCTGGCTGAAGCCACCATATGCAGCGCAGAGCTGGGCCACCACACTAAAATTTATAGCCAAACCAAAAGGGCTTTCCCTGAATATATTTACACCTGTGATGACTAAAATAAGGAATCACGGATTAATCAAAGCTGAAATTCAGAACCAATTTTATACATCTCTCATTAGTTTGCTTATGGGAGGTTCCAACTTGGAAAACTTGACCATTGGATCCAAATTTGCATTGTGAGCAACATGCAAATTAGGAAATATACTTTCAAAGCAGTCCCATCTCATGGCAGCACTAACCAGTGCATTATAAGAATCTGTTCTTTGTTTCCAAAATATAAGCCTTCTAGTAATTGAGAAAAATAACTCCTAGAAAACATTTGAATTCAGAGCCAACCAAATCAAGATGTGCACTCTTATTTTCAGCATATAAATTGGAGTTTTCTTTTTCTTTTTCTTTCTTTTTTCTTTTTTTTTTTTTTTTTTTTTTTTTTTTTTGTTACAGGAGATCGAACTGGGGTCTGTGCACTTGCAAGGCAGGCAACAGAACTGCTGAGCTAAATCCCTGGCCCCCAAATTGGAGTTTAATTAGTGCCAGAAGTGGTGTTTTTCCTAGTGTTCCAAAATGGGAACATGCAGATTATCAAAGCCATAAGTAATAAACAGTATTAACCTCGGTATTTTCTTTTCACAACATCATAGCATAACTAGTAAAGAAGTAATAAAAGTAATAGTATAGGATGCTGTGCAGTAAAGTTACATGCACCTGTCTTTGGGTACCTGCTGAAAATCACTGCCAAAAACTCACATCACTTTTTAACGAGCTCCCAGCTTGCCAGTTTGAGCAGCAGGGACTAATTCTGTGCACCATGTGATAAGCCCAGACCTCAGGAGGTACACATGTGAGAAGTCATAACATCCACATGCTAGTGTTCCTATAATGGTGCACTAGTTAATGAATCCTGCATCTTTAAAAACATCTCTTTTGTTGCACAGAAATGCAAATGTACCTAATGCCACAACAAACTCTTAAAATGGTTAGAATGGTAAATTATGCTATTTAAAACACAAATGGGGGAGATTTTTTTTTGCTTAGAAAGAACCAAATACATAGGGACACAACTACCATTCAGTACAGAGACCTATCAAGTTCACAGTGTCATCAAAAAACCAATGGCACAACCTTGGATGCTAAAAAGTACCAAGATTAAAACAGGAAGGCCATAAACCATGAGCTTTGGCCATTTCGGAGCTTTAATTTCTCTCCCCTCCCTGCCCCTCTGTCACACACACACACACACACATTTCAGATATATCTTTGATAAATAGTTTCCAGTTTGCTAATTGTCCAGTTGTTTTAGCATCATTATTGAAGAACTTTCCCCCCCAATATTCCTAAGACAGGGTCTCACTATATTGTCCAGCTGACCTTGAACTCAATCTTCCTGGCATAGCCTCCTGAGTGCTGGGGTCATAGGCAGGTACCAGAACACCCAACTATTTTGTCTATTCCTGTACCATTATCCTATCACCTTAGTGTAGTTTCAGTAAGCAAGGCTTCCCACCTGGTTTTCCTTTTTGAAAAGTATTATGACTATACTTGCTCCCCTTTTTATCACCAAATATTTTGTAGCATTTGCTTATCAAGTTCTACAAAAACAATTTAGGCTTTTAATTGGGATCATACTGAATTTCTAGATCAATTTTCAAAGAATCTTCAAATATTGAGCCTTCCAATATGAGAAAATGGTATATAATTTCATTTATTTAGGTCTTTTCCAATTTTACAAATTATAGTTTGCAGTTCCATTATAAAGTATGGTACAATAGATGTCTTGCATGTTTTTGTAAGGCTCGTTCCTTACAAATTAGTACTTATTTGTAATTATTGAAAATTAGTATTTATTTGTAATTATTACAAATTAGTATTAAATTGTAATAAGTATTTCCTTGTTTCTTTTTAAGCTTCCATTTTTATAATGTATTTTTGCTAGCTAAAAAAAGAAAATTGACATTTGAATATTTGCTCTGTATTTAGCAGCATCATTTAATGTTCTTATTGATTTATCTGTAGATGATTTTTTACTTATTTGTGACTAATAACAGTTTTATTTAATAACAGTAATCCAAATGCCTTTTTGTCTCCCCTTATGTCACTAGTTAAGATCTCAGCAGTGTTGAATAGACGTAATGATTACGGCAGCCCCTTATGGTTCCAGTATCAGAGAAAGTATGTTTTACCACAGCATATGATCTTTAGTGTAGATTTTATGCACATTTTCAGCAGAATGAGGAAATTCTCACCTATTCCTAGTTTACTAAGTGTTTTGTTATTAGATTTGTTTGGTAATAGCTATTTTTTCA